AACCAAAACAAACAATAGGCCCAACCTCTATCACAATCAATTCAAAAGGGAAGGCATGCATGCAAAATGCAACCTAAGCATGCAAGCTAAGTATGCGATATGAGCGTGCAAGCAAGTGATGAGCACTACTCACACAACCTAAGCAAACAAGCATGCTAGACATGTAACAATAATGCTAATGACCAACATGCAATAACATGTGAAGGGGACTTAGCATAGGAACATGTAAAACAACTTAACCCAAGATGCATGCGAAATGCAACACCACTTGAACATGCAACAATGTGCCAATAGACCAAGTATGTGACAACATGCCTATGGGCCATGTATGTGACAACATGCAAGGTAAATGTACACACAAGCATTCATGCACACATGGTCCAAAACTTGAGCATGAAGGAGTAACTTTTAAGCCCAAAACAGTGGCTAATATGCTAAGCGCATGAAAGCAAATGTATATACAAACATGTATGCAAACATGGTCCAATACTTAAGCATAGAAAGGGGACTTTTAAGCACACTTAAAAGAGGACAAACATGGACAAATGGCAAGCATGATAAACTCTGAAAATCAGGTTAAGGATGGTGCCAACCCAACTAAACAAAACAATCAAAGCATGCAAGTAAGGTTCACGGCTCAAAGCTATCAAAGGGGCTTAAACCATGGCCATACAAGGCAAGCCTCAAAGGGACAAAAGGACTCAAAACAGTCATAAAGCAGACCAAAACAAGGTCAAAGACACACCTAGATGGCATCTAAATGGCCTAAGTCTAAAGGTATGCATAATGATCCAAACATGGAGCATAAAACACAAACCTCTTGAAACATCAAAGGGGCCATAAATGCAAGTATACAAGCATACTATATGGACTGAAATGACATAACTAATGGTGCCAGACCACTGAAATGATGCAAGTAGGGCATGCTAGAGGATCCAACACTCAAGGCCTACAAAGGGGGATTGCATGGTAGCTACACTAAGCAAGTCATGGATGACCCAAATGACCAAAATCAGACCTCAAGCACATCAAAACATGCATAAAAGCTTCACAAAGCTAAGCCAAAATCATGCTCGAAAGAAGGCTCAAAGCACAAAGCATGTTAAGGCAATTTCATGACATTACAAGACGAGTATGCAAAGCATGCATGGTGTGTCTAAACCAACTAAAAATAGTGCTATATCATGGCAAAATAAGGACAAATACTACTTAAGACATGGCCAACATGGACTTAAGAAAGGTGCTTACACATGAGGCTAAAATGGCAAGTATTGAAGACAACAAAGAGAGGGGATGGCCCTCTCCTTCTTAGGACCTCAAAACACCATCCCCACCACTGAAATCCAGTGAGGAGGCCAACACAAGGTGGTCCCGGAGCTCACCAAAAGTGCACAAAAATGAGGCCAAACAAGGCCTAAGAGGGGTCAAACAACCCCAAACCTCAAAGAGACCTTAAACAACTATCAAAAGGAAGCAAAAACAGAACTTTTACTAGTTATACACAAAGCTTAAAAACAGATTCAAGGATGGCTAAAAGCCTATGCAAAAATGGGGAATAAAGGGGTAAAGTTCTTACCCTTGAAGACCTCTTTCAAGAACAATGCTCCAGCAGCCTCTGCAAGCTTAGATCAACTCAAGAACTCTGAAAATAACTCCTTAGTACCTTAGTAGCTAAAAGAAAGTGTAGCACTAGGTGTTTGTATGCAAAACTATGAACAAAAACACCTTAAACACGCACAAAATGGAAGGAGAAGGAGATATGGAGATAGAATAGATACACAATCCTCTAACCCTAATCTTAGAGCTCTGGAACTTCTTGGAACCTTTCTAGGAGGGAGGTGAAGCCCTCCCTTTATAGAGATTCACTCTTGCAAAGCTTACAAAACAAGCTAAGCAAGAGGGAAATCCCTCCATACACGTGTATGAAGGGGGTGCATTGTGGATGCCAGCTATCACTGCTGGCATAAAATATCTGCCAAATGCAGATGAACAGTGATCGGCCAACCAAAAATGACAAATTGACCAAAACAATGGTCGGCCAACCATAAAGAGTGCCGGCCGGCCATTACCAATGGCCAGTAGCAACAAAACAGGGCCGGTGGCCTCAAGCGATGGCCGGTGAGGTGTGGGAATGGCCAACAAGCCATTTCCCACCCTCAGAAGCAAAACAACAAGTGTTTGGTGCAAAACCAAACACAAAACAGGCAAGTCGAGAGATCTTGAGGCAAGGCGCATGGCTAAGACCTCCGAGAACTCATGACGAACACAAACACGGATGATCACTGAGTGTTCAAACGGTGATGTCCAAGTCTTGAGGACGGTCAAAAATGGGGTGTCTACATAATTTTTTTTAATTTGTAAATATTTTAAAAAATTAAGAAAATTTTAAAATTTTTTTTTTTTTTAAAAACCAAAACAATTTCAAAATGCAACTAGGAACATGATATTAACATATTCTTTGCTAGAGATGATCTAAGAACAATAGCATTATTATTTATAACAATTATGAATGGCAGTAATCATTAATTACCACCCTAGACTTTTAATTCAACATGGCTATAATTGGTATTCTGTATGCATCTTCTCATAAATGTATTTGCTTCGTTTTCTATATTCTCTGATTTCATTATTTTTCTAAATAGCTGTATTTCATAGTTGAATGATTTTTGATATTTTTTGTTCCAAAAAAAAAAAAGTTAAATTTTTGTTTAAATGAATGTCTTTTTGAATTTTGGGCAATGAATGGTTGGATGATTAAAATAGTAGTGCATTTTTTTTAATGGTTGCTTGTGTATATAAATTTTATAGTGAAATGATTTTTGATGTTTTCTGTTAAAAAAAAGGGGGTTAAATGAATACTTTTTTGAATTTGAGCAATGAATGATTAAAATAGCAATTCATATTTTTTAATGATTGCATGTGTATATATAAATTTTACAGTTGAATGATTTTTTATTTTTTCTATTAAAAAAAGGTGAGGGTTAAATTTTGTTCCAATAAATACTTTTTTGAATTTGGGCAATGAATGGTTAGATGATTAAAATAGCAGTGTATTTTTTTTAACGGTTGCTTATATATATATATATATATATACAAATTTATAGTTGAATGATTTTTGATTTTTTCTATTAAAAAAAAGTAAGTTAAATTCAAATGAATCGAAATGAATGTAGAACAACAATAGCGAAATTTGCTTTTTAAAAATTATAACACAAGCTAGTGCAAAATTTTACAATAATTATACTAGGGCATTAAGGTTAATATATTGGATGTCCCATGTCTGGTCATGTCCAATCCATATCAATCCCCTCAAACAAACATCGGATTAGATAATATTTTGTTAATCCCTCCTTATAATCCTAACTCAATCCAAACATAGGATATGGTACACAATCCAAAGGAATTCGTAATCGTAAGACTATTAGTCATGGAAATACTAATTCAACCAAATCTAATCTGCCCAAACAAACATGCCCTTAATTTTAACTACAATAGAAACTGTAGCCATGTTACTAATAGGACAACTTGATAAGTCACCGACAATAAAAATAAGTCGTTGATAGTTAAAAATTGTAATCATTTAAATTATATTCATATCATTAAGACGTAATGATGTAGCAAATCATTGATATGAATTGATTCATGTCACTCTATAATATTTTTGTCTGTGATTTTACATCTATTTTTAATGAATTTAATAAACAAAAAAATAGATATTACAATGGATCATATGCGACATTGATAGAACTCCCGATTAGAGAATTACAAAATTAGAGAATTACAAGTAAAATTGAAAAACAGACTAAAAATAGATCGTCTGGAGTGAAATTGAAAAACAACACTCCAAGACCTGTATTATAATTTTACAATTCAATTACTCGGCTAATTTGTCACAATTGCATATTACAATCACATGTTAAATCGCATCTTAAAAACATAATTTTAATAAGACATTGCAAGAAAGAAATCGTATCTTCAACCTGTCACGTTGGCACCCTATGCAATGCTAGTGGATGCTTGAGATGGTCATATCACAATGAAATCATATCTTTAACTTGTGATTTTATATTGAAATTGCATTTTGAAAATAGGATTTAAAAAAAAATGCACTAATTTTCTAAATAGTTTGAAAAGTGCAGCATTTTTATAAATAATTTTGTTTTTTTCCAATATTTATAAATTAAGAGAAGAAAAAAAATGCAAATCTTTAGTTTGATAAGTAACAACTCTATCATTCACACCATAAAAAGTACTTAAATAATGAAATGTGTGAACCAAATTTTTTTAAATTTAACATACATCATACAAGATTAAATTTACAATACAATTTAATACTTTTAGGCCATGTTTGATTCACAAGACTAATAGTGAAGGTATTAATAATCTCATCAAATTAGTATGGTATTTACTATCCAATTGGATTAGTAGGATAAATTATCCCATTGTCCATTGTTTGATTTGCATTAGATAAGAAAACATATGAATGTACGATTACAACTATATTTATCTTCTTTTCCAATCTTACCATCCATCAATGTTTCTTTACAATCTTTACTTTGTCAAAATTTTTTCATAAACGTGTTTTTGAAAAAAATTATAAATAAATAAATAAAAGCAAAATAAAAATACAAAATACAAAGGCCATGTTTGGTTTGTTTTTTATTTTTATTTTTTCAAATATGAACTAATTTGATAAAATAAATATCAAAAAATATTTTTAAACTTTTAAAGATTATTTTTAGCCTTCTAAAATATAAAATTATATAAGAATAATAAGTGTTTTTAATTTTTAGTCAAGGATAAAAGAGTCTTTTTTTATTTTATGTCCCAACTCAGGATATATAATCCCACCCCTACCCCATTACTAATAATCCTACAAATTTATTGGATTAATTATCCATTGGATTAATAATCCTGAAACAAAATTTTAAAATAAACACAGGATTATTGGGCTCATAGATTAATAATCTAAATCTCATATTCTAATCTTGTCAATCAAACATGTCGTAAGTGATATGTGCTCAGATTCATATAACTTTTTCTGGAACAAACGCAAAAGTTGTTCTCTCTTGCAGCAAAAAGTGGCCTCAATGACAATGCCAGTGCTAGAAAATGCAGTTGAAACCCTCTTCTCCAAAGATTTCCACCTTCTTCAAGCTCTTAACGTAGCGGACTTGGGTTGTGCAGCGGGTCCAACCATGTTCACTGTGATTTCTACAATCAAGAGAATGATGGAAAGGAAATGCAGGGAATTGAATTGTCAAACACTGGAACTTCAGGTTTACTTGAATGATCTTCCTAGAAACGATTTCAATACCCTCTTCAAAGGCCTGTCATCTAAGGTTGTTGGTAACAAATGTGAGGAAGTTTCTTGTTATGTGGTGGGAGTACCGGGGTCTTTCCATGGCCGGCTTTTTCCTTGTAACAGCTTGCATTTAGTTCATTCCTGTTACAGTGTTCATTGGCTTACTCAGGTTTGTACATCCATTTGTTTCAACTAGTAATTAACCTTGTGCTTATCAAATTATCCTATGTTAATTCCTATCACAATATGAGCAGAGGAGTTAGATGTTGGTCACATACTATGATGGACACATGAATAATTTTCATTGACCATGCCATGCCAGTAGAGAAAGATCAATATTTACTCTAACTATATGACGGGTACTATATGTATTTATTTGTATTTGTTGTATGGATACATATAAAAGTTTTTAAAAAATTGTAAAATTATTCAAAATATGCAGACTCAAAAAAATGGGCAATATAAACTCGTGTAAAATGGTCTTTCTCCATGTCTTTCCCAGTGTTTATCGAAAATTTCATAAAGTCTAGAATTTTCATATGATGGGCTTGATGCATGTGCAACTTAATTAGGATGTGCTTCTTAAGCAATGAATGATGGTTCGATCCTACTCTCTTTTTGTTAATGTAATATCATTGTACTGCTTGTATAAGTTGTATTATTTATTTCATATGACCCATTTGCTTTTGACGTGTAATAAGCTTGCACACTAACCATTTCAATGGTTTCTTTGGTGAAATAAAAGGCACCAAAAGGACTCACAAGCAAAGAAGGCTTGGCATTAAACATGGAGAAGATTTACATATCAAAGACAAGCCCTCCTGTTGTAAGAGAAGCCTACTTATCTCAATTTCATGAAGATTTCACAATGTTTCTCAACTCTAGATCCCAAGAGGTGGTTCCAAATGGTTGTATGGTGTTGATACGTCGTGGTAGGCTATCTTCTGATCCTTCAGACATGGAGAGCTGCTTTACTTGGGAACTATTAGTCATAGCCATCGCTGAATTGGTTTCACAGGTAGCTGCAATTTTTAACACTTCTTTACCATTAAATGTCTTCGTTTGATGTTCACAAGCTCTTACATACCTCTAGAACACAATTTTTATAGGCCTAAAATGGTAAAACATGCAAACTATAAACTGAAAATTCCCTTAGGTGCCGTCCACAAAGGTCTGATTTCGCTTGTTATATATTTTTTGTGCCAAATCTCTCATTTCTCAAAATTCGTTTCAAATATTCGTCATTATTCTCAAAATTCGTTACATACATATATAAACTATTCTTTAATTGAGTTAAAATGAAATAGTTATTAGCCAAATCAAACCAAACCAAGCCTTAAGTCTCATAAAATGGGATCGGCTACATGAAATAGTTATTAGCATTTTACAAAAATGGGTATTCTTCATTGCTCTCAAAAAGCATTTCATATATATATGCTACGCTTTAATAAGAGTTAAAATGAAATTATTATGAACATGTTATCACATTGACTCATATTTTACCCTCTGAAGGTAAAATATTCATAACTCAAAAATGTACTAAGAGTTTGGTTCTCAAACCAATTAGATTCTTAAAGCTTTCCAACTATTTCGGATCATGAAAAATAGAGTTCAATGTGTCCAAAATTAACAATTTTTTGTTTAATTTTTCTCCCCAACATTTTAAAAATATAAGTCATCTTGATGCCTTCTGTCCTTTAAAATGATAAAATCAATACTTATCCCATCATTTGTATATATATATACATATTTGGCATAGCACTACCCTAAAATTATTTGCTTTATTTATTCTAATCTATTGATTTTCTCTCTTTCCTTCGCGATAATAGGGATTGATAGATGAAGATAAATTAGACACCTTCAATGTACCTAGCTATTTTCCATCACTTGAGGAAGTGAAAGACATAGTGAAGAGGAACGGATCATTCACAATTGATCATATGGAGGGGTTTGAACTTGATAGCCCACAGATGCGAGAGAATGATAAATGGGTTAGAGGGGAAAAGTTTGCCAAGGTTACCAGGGCCTTCACAGAGCCTATAATTTCAAACCAGTTTGGACATGAAATCATTTACAAACTATATGAGAAGTTCACTCACATTGTAGTTTCAAATTTGGAAGCAAAGATACCGAAGAACACAAGTATCATTCTAGTGCTTTCCAAGATTGTTGGATAGTTTTTTAGTGTTGTGAAATAAATTGTAGTCCCCATCACATTTATGCTACTAGAGGGTTGTGCCAATGTATTGCACAAGAAGATTTGAGAAGGGTCAAATATAGAAAGCTTTTTGCTCTTGTGTGGAGAGAGAATGTTTTCTTGATTTAAATCTGTGATACCCAAATCGTAATGTAGGGAAGAAATGAGAAGTTGAACTTGAAATTTTAATTTCTTTACCTTATGTATGTAGGGAATTAGTGGTTGTTTGCTAAAAATAACGTCTCCTCCAATTATTGTAATGTATTAGGATGGTTCTGGCAAAGAATTTTTTGCCCTTTTTAAATCTCAAATTGAAATATTTTATCAATAGTATCAAAGTCATGTATACTAGCTTTTCATTAATTAATTCATGACTGTGCATGTTAAGTGTATTTGTCTATGAGTCTTTTGAAAGAGAAAAAAAAAGAAAAAAGAAAAAGAAACTCATATTCAGATGTAGAGGAAACCACATGATAAGGATTTCAAAGGTTAGAATTGATATATTTTTAATGTTGATGGTTTAATTTGAAACAATTATGAGTTTCTTTGTTTCAATGTCTCTTATGCTTTGCTACCTATTTGGGAACCTCTCCAATGTGGTAATGTTGCTGGTTGTTACTTCTTGTTGTTCTGGATTGTATTGATGTATTATTTTTTATATAATACTCCATTGTTCACTAATGCAATTGGTTGCACTTTTTTTTGCTGATCAAAACAATTTCAAACAATCAAAAAGTTAGTATTTGCTTTGTAATAGATGTCAAACTTTAGTGTTTTTTTTTTTCCTAATAACAATAATCTTAGCAAAAGATTAATAAAAATGAAATCCTGAATTGAAAGAGGTTTTGTTTGATATATTTTCAAATTAAGAAAATTTAATCACAACAAACTAGCATTTATATTTTTGAGTAATGCCAAGATATAACTAAATTTTTATATCAAATTTGCTTAGAAAGATATGTGTCATTACTATTTTTAATGGAATAGACCTCACCTCCACATTCATTCATAGATCATTTTCATGGCAAGACATCATTCAAAGTTCGAATTCCAAATCTTGAATACAACAGGCACAATCTCATTAATTGGAAAGAACACGAAATGACCTATCCAACAACAACAATATGTGGGACCCATCCCTTGTGAGAGGATTGTATCCCATGTTGTGTTTGATTTTTGTATTCTTAACATTACTGTTTTGATTAGTATGGGTGCCATTGAGTGCTAGCCCAGGTAGGAAGAAATCTTGGAAGCTAATTGTTGATAAGGTCAAGCTAAAGCTCACTGGATGGAGTAGAAGGCTTTTATCATTTGCTGGTAGGTTGACATTGATCAAGGCTGTGTTATCTAATTTCCCAGTGTACTATCTCTCTTTATTTAAAATGCCAGCACGAATAACAAAGGAGATTGAAAGAATTCAGGCTGCTTTTCTATGGGGAGGACCAGATTTGAAGAGGAAATTACACTTGGTGAAGTGAAAGGAGGTTCTTAAGAGCAAGATGCAAGGAGGGCTGGGGATTAGAAGAACTAGAGATTTTAATGATTGTCTCTTGATAAAGTGGTGGTGGAGGTTTGCTAATGAAGATGAGGCTTTATGGAAAAAGGTGGTCTATAGTAAATGCAATCTAAATGGGAGAGTATGGTTTCCAACTTTGAACTAAGGTAAGAGGGCATCAAAGTTGTGGAGTGATATTTTAGCTGCTGCAGAGCACAGGCCTATGATGTTCAATTTTTTCACAATCAATGTTCAGATTAGCGTGGGTAATGGGAACAAAGTGAGGTTTTGGCAGGATAAATAGTGTGGTGATGGTTGTTTCAAAGAGAAATTTCCCAGGTTGTTTAGGTTATCCATTGATAGAGGAGGTTCTTTAAGGTCTTTTGTTGAAAAGCAAGATAGTACTGGTGGTTGGGAAATTAGCTTCAGAAGCAATTTATTTGTTTGGGAGAAGGAGGAACTCAACAAGCTTAGAGGGGAGTTATGTCTGGGTCCATCACTAAATAGAAATGAAAAGGATAAACCAGTTCTGTTAGCAGCACAATCTGGTTAGTATATTGTTTCCACCCTCTATAAGTATACAGATTTAGAGGCTAGTGAGCAGTCTACTGTTAGTAAACTGGTATGGGTGAATTATCTCCCACCCAAAGTGCAATTCTTTGGGTGGCTTGCATGGAAACACAAGGTGAAACCGTCTGATTTTTTGCAGAGGATAGGAATTTTGGGCGGAAGTGTGTCTTATCAGTGTGCGTTCTGCAATAATGAGCTAGAAACAGTTCAGCATGTGCTAATCTTATGCCCTTTGGTTTGGAGGGTGTGGACTGATTTGCTATATTGGTGAGGAATTCAATAGGTGGTTCCTGAATTAGTGGAAAGGTTGGTACAATGGTGGGATGGTAACAGAGTCAAAAAATCTGAGAGGAGAATTTGGATGGCTTTACCTCTGGTTGCCTTGTGGTCTTTATGGAAGTATAGAAATGATTGCTTGTTCAACGGTATACAACCAATGATGGGGGAGCTGAAGGAGGCCATCATCATCAAATTAGCTACTTGGTTGAAGGCTTACTTCAAAGAGTACCAGTATTCTATTTCTAACTTTTTATTTAATTTTTCTCATATTAGAAAATGTTTAGGAGGCTGAAAGCTTACAGATTTTTTTGTAAGCTTGGGTGTTTTTACTGTTTCTGTTGTTCTATTGGAATCTTTCCAACTCGATTCCAAGGGTTTGGGTTGGTGTTGGTGAAGATGGGCTACTAATGTTGTGCTTATTAATAAAGCTGGTTCTACTTGGTGAAAAGGAGTATCTACTCTGTGGTGGTTGATCTGTGTGGGCAGTGATCCCTTTCAATTGGCTGTTGTTGCTGATGTTCTTGCTTTGATGTCCATTTTCTACTGATATGGGTTGCTGCTGGTTTTGTGTGGGTAATGATCTTTTAATTAGGCTATTGCAGCTAATATTTTGTTGTTGTCCTGTTTTATTATTGTGTCTGTTGCAGATGTTATTTTGTTGTTGTCTTGTTTTGTTGTGTTTGGTAGTTTTGGGTTATTTGGTATGTATTAGTTTTGGTTAGCTTTTACTTGGTTGAGGTTGATTTGGGTGTTTGTGGTTGGTTTCTCACCAACTCTTGATGGTATGCTAGCATATGATTTGGCGGTCTTATTGGTGTCAACCTAGTTGGGATTGATTTGGCTCACTATGATGTTTTTGCACTTGTAACGCCCTCAAAATACAGTATAAGCCAACCATCCATAAAATCAATAATCATAGGAGAAATATTATATTTTCATTCATCAGAGTCTTCTTTACAAATGATTTCACATGCAACGTTAACTTCTAATAGCAAAATGAGTGCCCTACGGGCTTACTTCTTTCCAAGCAATATCTTGGTTACAATAAAAGAGAGTCCTAGCTCAATACATATAAAGCCCTTGGCTTGAATATACATTTAACATGAAAAAAAAAAGGTCTTCAACTCCTAAACCTCCCAAGCTAAGACCTTGGAGGCGGCATGTCCCCTGTACCTGAAAAATGGTGTCCCAAGTAGGGTGAGCCAAAGCCCAGTAGAGATATACTAAACAATATATGAGAATTAACTAAAACATTAGCATCCGATAAATGTTTAACACTTGTAAACCAACTTACACCCTTTCCATAACCAATCAACATTGACATCCATATTTCTATTCACTTGCATTTACTTATCCAAATCTATTCATTGACATAGTTCATCATCATCTAAACAATTCAAAATGAGACTACAAACCATTTATCAACACTTCAATCATAAACATTATTCGTACACTTCCATTTCTTGCCATTTTACAGAACTTCGTCCGAGGGAACCGGCACCCAAATATATATAAGATTTCGGAACTTTCACACTGGACACTCCGGCCGACTTAATTATCAATGGAATCCATCCCCTATCTCTTCCCAAACAATGGAGTACATCCCCTATCTCCTCCCAAACAAAGATACATATACAATGTATTAAAACACATTGTCATATACAATGACCAGTTAAATCACATATTCAATGTTTTAATCCAATCGTCATATTCAATGACATAATCCGATTGATTAGTTTCAATTTACCTAATCATCATGCAGTTTCTACAACAATCATGGCTATCCTCCACCGATAGCCCAAAACAGTTATTTCTAAACAGATACATAAATCTATCAAACATATAATTTATCAACTTTTTCATAGGTGAGTGACTTATCAATCCAACTACACCATTTAATTACAAATTTCCCCAATTTCATAATTCCCGAACCAATTTCATATTTCCACATTAATTTCATTATTTATGCAAAAAAAATTTTAATTCAACTTAGGGCATTTTCCACTTTCTCAAATATTTCAACCAAGGCCAAATTTCATCCTTTTTACACAAATATTCCCATTTTCAAGACCTCACATACACATATGGAGCCCAAAGTAGAAAACCCCTCTAACACAATTTCAAACTCAAACCCTAACTTCACCCAAACTTTCCAAATCCCACCATTTATACAAAATGACTAATATTTAGGTCAAAAATCATATTAAAGAGTAGATTATCCCTACCTCAAATGGAGAAGCTCAAAGGAGAAGAAGGGAGAAATCCAAAGATGCTCCAAACTTGAACTTTTTCTGATCCAAAGAAAGCCCATGCAATGCTCTAGTTTTTTAACAAAGGGAGTAGGGTAGGAAACCTCTAGAACATGGAGTATTTGTAGAGAGAGAGTGTTTTTTAGAGAGAGAGACAACTGATCTAGGGTTTGTGTGGTAGAAAAAGATAAAAAAAATGGTGTGTTTCGTCTCCGCTGCGAACTGATATATGCGAGGCTCGCTCGAGTGAAAGAGTTGTCGCTCGAGTGACCAGACACAACAAAAGGCCTCGCTCAAGCACAAGAAGCGTCGCTCGAACGCACAATGCAAAGCTTCAGGTCTACCACCAACGCAAACGCACGCTCGGGCGCAAGAGTTCTCGCTCGAGCGAAGGAACAAATAACACAGGGCTCGCTCGAGCGCAAGAAGTGTGGCTCGAGCGAAGAATACCAACCTTCAAGTCTTCATAGAGACGCATACGCACGCTTGAGCGCAAAAATGCTCGCTCGAGCGAAGAGACAAACACCCAAG